GACCATGTCTGAACTTACACAGGTGAGTACACACATGACTGATGAGGTATCATACCACTGGCTTCTCAGCTGCCCTGTTCTTCCCTATATTTGGTCTTTGTTCACTGGACATAACATGATAGCCACATGTGATGCAATAGAACTACAAATCAGGATGCATAGAAATTAACAGGGCTTTTTGTAGATAAACCACAACATCAGCCCATGTCATAACTGCACTGTGCTGCTTCCCTGGAGAGCTCATCTTGTAATTGGTTGTAAATCAGGGACAATTAAGCAAAGTGGTACACTGCAAATACCAAAACTACGACAGCAGAGATTATAAGCAGGCTATATTTAATTAAATCAGTGTTCCAGTGTACAAGGAGATGAAGTCTGTATAAGACCTTCTACCAGGTCCTATAATCCTGTTTTACAAATAATTTAAGAACTTCTGGGGGTCATGAACTTTAGACAGCTTCTTTCCAAATAATTAGGGATTAAGTTATACTACGGAAATCCTCAAAACAAATATGAAGCTGCAAAAACGTTTGTATTGCTGATTAGGTTGCCATCATCCTACTGATGAAGAGACATGAGAGAATGTAGGAGGTGGAACAGGGGGCACTGTCACACAGACAGATTGAACTGAAATGTTAACAGACTGACTGGTTTCATCCAGAACCCCCCACAGGAGGGGTTTCTTAATCCAAAATACATCAGGAACATTTTAAAACACGTCTTATGCTTTCCAATGACTCACAGTGTGACTCTGCATGTCACTTGGCCTGTCTCTTGCTTTTTGTTGCTGTCCCTACAACTATCAACGCTGCTTTTGTAAATTCTCTGGAGGTGTGTGGGAAACAGTTCTGTGGAAAACCGTCTCCATTTACTATCTCCAGGACACATCACCAGCATTTAAATAAAGTTTTGGGCCCCAGAGGCTGCCCCTTTTTTTGTGCCTGAGCCTCACTGACACATTCAAGCTCCATGCAGAATATATAAGCATCTGTGGCAATACCCTGCTCTGTGTGATCCTGGCATGACAGCCAGGGCCAGAGGAAGGGATGTGCCCTGCTTAAGCAGTCACTTCTGTCACGTTTATTGTGGAGACAAGCAGGAGGGTATTTTTAACAGAAGACACTTCCTCTGTTGGTTCGGTAAAGCCCAAGGCTGTTGACCTTGCAGGCACAGTGCAAGCCCCATCTGTTTCCCGAGGAGATGAAGGGTATTTAAGCAATGCAGGTGATGACATTTTTTTTTTGTTTTATTCTTTGAGACAGTTTATTTTATTGTTTCTAAACTGTGCAATCTTTTATTTTCCAGTGAATTTTCCATGACATTTTGAAAGATTTTATACAACAAAATCCCAACAACCATGTAGGTGAAATACCCACAATGTGCAACTGTAATTAAGAAAGGCAACAAAAAATTGATTTGTTGCATAATTTCCCTCTAGCAAAAAATTAATAAAACCAAATCACAAATAAATGAGAACCCTTGGGGAAATATGCCCTCTCCTTACTCCCTGAAAATGGAGCAATTAACAATACATGCATTTTTTTTAGTACGTAAGGGGGTAACTGCTTATAATCAAGGCCACATGTTCTATTTTCAAGGACCTTGAGAGGTCTGTCACGTTAGGTGACACTGTCAACATCCCTTTAGGGGAGCAAAGGTTTTCCTATTCTGACCTGAAACAACACAGTAAGGAGTAGTGCAAATCCACCTCCATTTTAAAAACAAAAGGAGTGAACTACCTGTGAGAACAAGATAAACCACAACAGAAAACATCCCCAAGTAGCATGAACTCATCTCTGCTTCATCCTGCCTACAAGAGCTGCAAGACAACCTGAGTAAGACATCATGGACCCTGAAGGTCCTCTGCATTTGAGGTAATGTTGGGAATTTGCTAATCAATTAAAATAAACATCAGAAAAGCACTACTTATGTCAAGTTGTGCATAAAAAAATCCAGCATATACAAGTGTAATATTGCAAATTTTTTAAATCCAAAAACACCATGTGAGCTAAATGTAATGCAAAGGAGTCAGACATAACTTCTGCCAGTTTTCTAAGATATTTCAGGAATTTCTAAAGAACAGGCAGGCAGAAGATAGCACCAAAATTCTGCATATAGTATGTTTCACTGCATAGGTGGAAGGAGGAACCACAGTAATAATGAAGGTAGTAATTCTTATGATGTGCACTCCGAAGAAAAAAGGTGCTTCAGTTTCAGAGATGCCAGCTGTCTGGCACCTTTTCAAAAATGCAGGTGACTAAGAGTCACTCGCTGGCACTTTGAGACAGTCAAGCAACTGGTACCACCTGAGCCAGCCCCAGGGGACTATTAGGTGTCTGTGAAGGGCACATGCCCTCCTGCAGTGACCCACGGAAAAACACAAAACTTTGAGGACCTCAAATCTACTGAACATTAACACTTGAGCAACTGAAGTGACTGATTAACTGGACCAAAATTCTGTGTTTTCTGGCTGCCAGAAGCAGGAGGGTACCTTCAGATATATAATATGAATTAGGATTGAGTTTTAATTTGATGCCTATGAGAACAGTGTGTAGTTTGGGGGTTTTTTTAATTCCTGGGGTTTTTTCTGAAACTTGTCCATTGAATCATTCTTCAGAGGTTTTTAATGTTTTGGGGAAAAATATATGTTCAGGCTATGCACAGCTTTAATGAAGAACAATTTTCTCCTGATAAAAATTTAGCTTTTCTACTAATATGCAGAGTACTTGTGTATCTGGTTAACATCAAGTCAGTCTCCTACACAGACATCAAAAGTAGAGACAAGTGAAAGTTGCTATCAGCTAGACTATCAACTCAGCTACAGTCCTCCCTTCACAAAACCAAATAATTTATTTCTAAAGGCATGAATCCCTGACACTTTTGAGCAACAATCCTTGCACTGCACAAATCTGCTTGTTGTGATGACAGGTATCCACAAGATAATGCAGGTTTTCATGCATAGTGGCAATATGTAGTTTTTAAGCCCATTTTCAAGTAGCACACTGACAAAAGAACAATTGCATTTGCCAAAGGGTCTAGAGTCCCAAAGTAGCCCCAAGTACAAATCTGGAGCAGGGCTGGAGCACATCATAGACATGACATGCCCTGGCCTGCAGGAGCTCTGCCTGGTCATGAGGGTCTCTGCCAGCACTGCCAGGCCCTTGGAGCAGGGAAACCAACCTCTCAGTCACTGCAGCACTGATGTGCCTACCCTGGGCCAGCACAGACTTTTTAAGCCAAATCAAACACCAGTGCAAAATGCATAATGTAATGAATTTTCAGGTCTGATCCAGGCATAGAGAACCAAGTGAATGTCCCTTATGAACCCCTCTAGAAATCAGTGCTTACCCACACCAGATGTGAATTTGCTTTCAAGCTCTAATGACAGAAACCCATGATCTAGAGACATCTTGGCAGGCCTCTGTGGAACAAGCAGTTTCCAAGGCAAAGTGCCTTCCCTGGAGTACTGCAGTAATAAGCTCAGCATGAAGATGATTCCACCCTTATTAATAGAGCTAAACACTTTATCTTTTTCTGACCAAAGGATGCAGCTGCTAACATCCAAAGATAAACAAGATACCAAGGAGCACATATGTGCCTGAGACAGCAGGAGTTGACCCTGGAGAATTCCATGGGCCAAGGAACTCTAGAGTACACTACACAAAATTTTCACAAACATTTACTTCAGAAGTTAAACTATGAGCTCAGCAGCCATGGCAAACTACATGCAAACTGTTCAAGTGACTGAATTTATGACAGAGGGAAAAAAAAAAAAAAAAAAACTACCAAAAAAAACTCAAAAAAAAAAAAAAAAAAAAAAACTGCCATATGAGACTCAATGAAAAAAGGGATTCCACAACAGAGAGGCAGTTTAAAAAGAAATCTTTATCAGGTTAAATTGGTGGGTCACTAAGTATATTATTTGTTTTTGCAGCATGCAAACTCTTCTTACAGAGATCACAGTCCTACCTGAATATTTGCTGCTCACTTTCACTAGTTAATTTGAGATAGTTTGCAATTGAGAGAGTGAGAAAATAAAAATAAAAGGCACTTAAACTTAAAAGTACTGATGTATATTTTTATAGAAAAAGTTTGAGACATTAATGATTTAGCTCAGTTAGTCCCCATACCTTGCTGGCTTTCCCTCTGTTTCCTCCATTGCTTCTTTTTGTGACATTGGCTTTTTTGCTGTTAGAAGATGTGATTTGTGCAATTCCCAATATGCTCTGTGTTGGCTTGGTTGAGATTCTCACATGCAAGCTATGAATTTGGGTATGATGAGGAGCAACAGCCCCTTAAAGTCAGCCTACAGAGACACTGGTACTGGCAGAGGATTGCATCCTGAAGAAGCCCAGCAGCAACTGGACCAACACTTACTGCAGTATGCACAGCCTATATTGCTACACAAATGTAAATATAATAGTTAACAAATTGGTATGATGGCAGGTTCATCTAATACTTTTGCTATGCAACTTCTGATCAGAAAGGGGTGCTTATTTCCTTATATCATTATTTTCATGACAGTGCTTAATGGTTAAGAGTCTTACTCCTCAGAAAACTCTGCAAGTTTGATTTGGTCTGAGTTGTTGAAATTATAAATGTTATATATAAGGTTCAGCTTCAAATAACAGAAAAAATGAACAATAGATTTTGTCTCTCTCATTTCTCCCCATGATATTCACTTATTTGTACTGCATGAAGCCAGCACAAAATTCAGAAAGTAGCAATCCAAAAATACCTGTCAATGACCTCCAGAGCAAAGAAATGGCATGAGAGTGATGCTGCCTAAGTCTTTTCAAATCTTTGCTCATGGCTTGACTTTCACAGGGTGCTTGCTACAAGCTCCTCAGACAGGACTGAGAGGTGTCAGAATGGAAGTATTGTGCCTGGAGAGCAACTCTTTCCACCAGCAGGCCTCCACAGATATCCCAGATACACTTTATTTACAGATATACTTCATTTTTATTCAGCTTTAATAACAGAAAGGTGGTTGTACTCACTGAATGTGCGGATGACCTCGCTCGGTGCACTGGCAGGGCTGGATCCAAAGGAGTTTTCTGCTCGGATGGCAAATTGATACCTTGTGTTTGGGAGAAGCCCTTTGAGAACCATGGACTCCATCTGGATGTGCTCTCTTATTACCGTCCAGTTGCTGTCAAGGTCTGGCCTTCAGGATCAAACAAAGACCAGATCTTGAATAATTAAAGCTGGCTGTATAAATTAGCTGTGTTTATACTTTTCTAGGGAATACACTAATAAATGAGACAGAAGTCTACTAAATCATCACTGAAACCCTTCATTCCTAAAGGATCACACTGTGCAACCTACCATTACCAAGCTGTGAAGCCTGTGATGTCAAAACTTTATAATCATACAAACGCAATAACTCAGAATTTGCTTATAAAGCCGAGGACCGACTGACAAATCCAATTAAGTTTATCTGTTTTGTGGATTTTGGATTTAGAGTTTTCAAGTAGGAGTCTATTACCCTCAGTTCCTAGCTCCCTATGTGGCTGTATAAGGCAATAGATGGCAATAGAGGGAAAGATCTTGATTTATTTCTAAGAGTTTGTGTTCTAATGCCAGTAAGTCCCTTCAAACATATACAAGCATTAGCAAGATGAGATTCCAACATTTGATCTCCGAGGTAATCAGGTTAATCCACTCAGATAGGAACATACAGAGCCAAAGTCTTCTCTTCAGAAAAACAGACAAAAAAAAACACCAAAAAAAGAAAAAACACAAACACAGACAACCTACATAACCCACAGAACAATAATGCAGAGAACATGGCCTATGTACCTGGATTTTGTAACAATATTCCAATAGCTGCTTTTGGACAATCCCTGGTCAACTCGTGATTCATACTGGAAGCCAACTGCCAGTATGTACTTCTCTAAGTGCCATTATATTTCAAGTGAAACCAGTGTAACTATTCACATGGCAGTTTGTTATCAAGTGTTTTAAGTTCATTCATACAGGCACATTGTAAAGGGGTGGGTGACTTCAAGTAGTCTGAGAGAGTATTCTGATGCTTTGACACCATTTCCACTCTCTACAAAAGTGGCCTCTTCTTATCAAAGAGAGAACAAAATAAGAAGCTAAAAAAGCACAAACAACACAATAATGTAAACATTCATTCTAGGCCACCCAAAATATTAAAATTAAAGTTTATGAAAGTAAAATAAGGACAGAAATAGCTTTCAAAGAAATTATTCTGGTGTTACTGCAATATTTATTACAGGAAATAACCTCCAAGTGCACCCTGAATCTACCAGTGTTTACACAGGACTAGCTGCAAATGTTTCCAACAGTCTTCAAGTTAAAAATTATAGTACAAGGCAGGCATTTTGTATTTGTTTATGTTCAGCTGGAAGGAAATGACAAAGTTAATGTATGTTTTCTTTTAGTGGTCAATACAAGATTTATTGATCACTGAAGTCCATTGCTTTGTGCCAGCATGGCAAATGCAGTGGCAAAGCAGTTCCCAGCTGCCTGTCTCAAGTGCACAGTGGCACACAGGACATGAGTATCTCATTATTTTGCTAAAAATAAAAACAAAATCAGAAAAACTCACAAGATGTAATGATAGCTAAACAGACCATCTTAAGTCACCCTTCACCACCATTTCCTGGTAGACAGAAGAGCATTTATTTTGGCTACCCTTCCATTGTTTCCCTCCTCTGTGCTTTTGATGCCAGAGCCAAAATGAAAATATATAGTGTTTTCCAAATGAAAGCTGTTAACATTGCCTCCTTCCAAAGGCTTGCTTAGTAGTGTTTTCAATTTTCCTGTACACATCCTTTTTCGGTTCTAATTCCAATCCAAGGAATTCCTACTAGCTCAAGAGCTGCCTCTTTGCATGTGTCCACCCAAATGGAAACAACACACCTTTGATGAAGGGACCCAAAGGAGGCATTGCGCCCTAAAAAGATCTAGGAGATAGCACAAACAGCAGGTTAGGCTTTAAATACACTGATTGTCCCTCCCAACATTTCCTTCTGCAGAAGTTTATAATAAAGGAAATGCCTGCAAACATGTAAGGATCTGCAGCTGAAAGAAAGAGGGAGATTTATCACTTGACCTTTGCTACCTCCCAGAATGCTCCCTGTGTGAGCAAAATAGTATGAGATGAAAACATGGCAAACAGATGGGGAAAGGAACACAAATTCAGCTGGTGAGTGCATCCAGGGCAAGCCAGCTCCCATGTTCCCTGAGATGAGAACATTTTGCTGAACCTGCCTCCACGGTCCTTTTTTTTTATGTCGTATTTCAGTGTGTTGTCAACTTTTACACTGGAAGGGCTCATTCTGTTTCCACTTTTCCCATTTTCCTGCAGAATTCCCCAACACAGGGGACAACACCTTGCAGGCCAGTTCCAAATATTGTATCTGTGAATGGGAAAATCAGACAACTTCCATGGACATTGTCTGATCACAATTGCAGCTGTGCAACTCCAACACATAAATGCTATGCAGAAAGACTCTAATGCAAGTCATAGTGGTTTTAAAATAATAAATATATGGCTAAAGCAAATAGGACTGGATAGGTATAAACCAAGGGCAGAATTCAATGCCAAATGTACCCAAAAAGTTTAGATTATTGCTTTATGTTGTAACTTGGAAATGGATTCAGTTCAAGAAGGGAATTCTTTCTGATGCAGAAAACAGCAATTTTATAGTCACTTGAACTTCCTTTTAAAATCACGTGGAAATTATTTAAGTGTGAGGCACCCCCTCACACAATCCAATTTTTCTAATGTTTCTGATTGTTCTTCTATGCTGTATTCATACTCATCTCAAGGGGAAAACTCATCTTGAAATGGTTTTAGAAAGTATTCCAGCAAATAATAAATATGATGACAAGTACAATACATAATCATTTGTGATAGAGAAATCTCTTGTATAATATACTGCACTATAATGTATTATTTTTTGTAATTATTATTATTTCACATCACTGTGACACTTTGCACAAAATAGATCAACTGATATGCCAGGTTAGTTGTGAGGAAAGGAAAAGTGGACAATTTTGGTAACTCATTCTCTTGTTGGATATTCTTCTTATGCTATCTAATGTTGTTAAGCACTTCTTCCCTAATATCTTTCACTCCTCTTGCTTTATCAGTTACCTTTTTCAAGGAGTTAATCTCACAAGCAGTGCTCTAAATACTGAGTCAGATATACCTGCTTTGTGCAATAATCAGGGAAACAATATTAAAAGTATTTTTCCTAGACACTGGGAGGTGTCTCCCTGGTCAGATCTGTTGTTTCAGGTTCTTTGCAAACAAAAGCAAACAATGGTTAAGTGCAGTGTCAGAGACAGACAGCTCAGCAGAGAATGGATCCAGGGACAGACTTTTCTGGGAGGGAGAGGGAAGGCTTTAAATTAATCAAGAAATCTGTGCACAACACTATGCACCACCCTAACATCTGAATACTAATAAATCTCCCAGTTTTATCAGCAGAACCTGCCTAGTTCATTGCAGCAGAAGTTTCATGTCACTACCAAGATACTGAAAAATTTCCTTTGCATGCCAAGATTAATATTAAAATATTCATCTACATACCAATGAGATGAAAATAAAGTGACCTGGTTGTTTTAGGGCATATGCTGCTAAACTCTTGTGGTTCTGCAGCTGCTGTATGGCTATAAAAATTCAGATAAGTTAATCATCAAGTTTAAAAGATCATGTAGACATTCATCAGATTAAAATTTTGAGTATTTGGAGTATTTGGGTGAAAATATCCAAGACATTTTTAAGAATTTATTTTGTATAGCATCTTTAGGAAAAACACCTAAGCTCATATGCTTAAGTCTGGGGTCTTGCTTTAGAGACTTTCATAAAAATGTAATTTTTCATTAAATACTTCTCACTGTTAACCAATAGAATATTTACACTTAGTCTACAAAGTTGCACAGACATATATATTTTGATTTTAACATATCTTATTGCACATTCCCTAGAACTATCCAATGAAGAGTGAGTCCTACAGTCTCCCTCTGGACTTTCATCAGGTAAACAGATGGGATTGTGATCTCCCTAGCATACTTTGTTAGTTAGCAGCACAGTAGAGCCTGAATTAGCTCAGCTCACCTTATATCTGAAGCTGCCTGCAACCCTCCACTGCCTGTAGTGAACCAACTACTTCCTTTGGTCCCAAGGGAAATCCCTTAGGCAAGTGCTTAAATAAAGCACCAAATTTAGACCCTGAATGGAGACAGGATGCAGTCTAGCTCTGGATCTGATTAGACTCTGGTATCCCAAAACAATTAATATACAGAGTTTTCATGAATGCACTGAATTTCCCCAGTATCACAGCTGAGCAATTAACAGGAGTGCTTTGTCCCAGCATGATTTTCCTATGGTTAAAATCATGAAGTTAATTCTAAGGACATGGAAATTATTTAAACAATATCATAGTTTTCAGACATTTGTGCCGCGCCAAAGCAAAATTACAGATTTGCATTAGAAAGTTATTAATTTTGCAAAATCACAGGATACTGGTGTATTTCTTTGACATAAGAGGACCCGATTCTAATTTACTTGAACTGATTTGTTTTAGTCTTACACTGGTTTAATTTACTAGCTTTAACTCATGATAATACATTTTATAGTAATTAAAACTATATGCAGCAAAAGACAATGAAGCTTAAAGCTAAATGTTTACCTTTAGCTGCCATTAGGGCTTATGCCTCATTGAACTTACTCCAAATATACAACCAAGCTTCCAAGTCTAAGAGAGCATTATCCCAAGATTAACAAAGGCACTTTCAACTTAGCTTTAAACCTCAAACTAAACAGTGTAATCAAAACATTTTGCTGCTAGCAAATTCTTTCCCAAGAAAGCCAATGAAATACTGAAATTTCAATCACTCGCATCTTTTGACCTAAACAGCAGCTTTCCACTCCCTGGCTGAACAAAAACATTCAAGGGTGCACTTTCAGTGCATCAGACAGAGATGATGGTGCCCACTTCTTCCATTAGCAGGCTCCTGGTGCTATGAAGAAGTGTACATAAGCCTCCAGGTTCCACTGTGCAGTCAGTCAGAACACAAGAAAATCGCTTCCCCATCAACCGAGCAAATGAGAGAGAAGAGATGCAGGGAGAGCAAAAAGCTCAGATAAAAAATGTGCTAAAAGAATAGATATTTAAGATATTTCACTGTAGTCTACAGCAGACATTACACAAAGGAGATAAGTATCTTCAGCCTTCATGTCCTGCCTTGCAGTGCACTGAATATTGGATGCCTCCAAATAAATATGGGGGCTTTCACCCCAAACACAAAGTGCATCAGTTAACAAGTAGGTTTTCAGTCCGGGTGTTCTTTCTGCTATATCAATATCTTTTTGCTATATCAGTATCTTTCAGATTGAATACTCAAATAATACCCATACTTTGAAAACCAAGTTCTTCCTGTGTGTTTAACAATAACAATTTTTTTTTTTTTAAATTACCATGGTTTCCTTAAGAACGATTTTTTTTTTTGACCTTTTACAGATCCGTTTATGAAGTTAAATTCCTTCTTTTCAAGGAACCTCAACTAAAACCTGTAATCAAGTATTCACTCAAAGGATTAAAGGGTGAATTTTACATTCACTGTAAGGGTAAACACTGAGGCAAATAAAAATAAATAGATTTGTATGCAGATATTAGCTCACAAGCATATGAACAGTCAAGTACAGATACTTGTTTATGCTTGCAGATACAATCACCTCCTCCTGGCCCTTTTTATGCAGCTTATAAAAGCAATTTGACTTGAAACTTCTGACAGTTCAGTTCTACTACTGTGAATTTTAAGAATTAATCACAAAAGAACAAAAAAGCACCCCACCAACATCCCACTTCCCCCCCCAAATCTAAACAGAGGGATCAACACTTTGTGTAAATTTGATTAGCATTAGCATAACAAAGCAAGTCTAAATCCTGCAAGCTTAAGACCCAAACAACTTTATGTTCAAGAGGTGTCTGGATCTGGCACTGGGTTATGTGATTTAGTCATTTAGAGGCTACAGTGTTGGGTCAATGATTGGGCTGGATGATCTTGAAGGTCTTTTCCAAAACTGATATTTCTATAATTCTATAACTTTTATCAGGTAAAACTGTCCAACATACTGAATTTTCAGTCCTCAGATTATTTTCTAAAGCAGCCCAGGAAACCACTCTGCCAAACATTTTTTTCTCAGCATAGTTTGATAGCATTTGATTACAGGAGAAACTTAAAACTTCATTAATCCAAGCCACTATTAGAGGAAACAGCTCAAATCAGACCTTATTTTTCTTCCATCAGAAAGTACAACTTATTGGTGATTTTATAACAAGTTAGATACTTTCTGGTTTTGTCTTTAAATTTCCATGGTAATTCAACACATACTGAGAGGCAGACTAGGCATACAATACACAATAAGTAAATAAATCACATCTATATGCAGTTGAATAGTGCAGTTTAGGTTAAAAAAACCCCAAAACACTATAGTGCACAAACACTAAAACTCAGACTCCACTAGCAAACTTGCCTGATAAACTCCACCGTGTAGTACTGGATGGGAGAACTTCCTTCACTCGCTCCAGGCTTCCAGGACAATGCAACTTCTGAATCAGAAACCACCACAATCTGGGGCTGATAGGGTGGTGCAGGAGGCATGCACTTATCTAATAAGAAATGCAAAGAAGTAGCATTAGAGAAGCAGCTGGATTGCTACACACAATACCCAACACCCACAGAGTCAGGAATCAAATTCATAGGCTTCTCCCCTCACACTACTGCCCCTCTAAAAACCCTATGTATGTGGAAAAGTGCCAGTGAAACACCATTATATTGCACATGGCAGAGGTTGGGTGTGAGTGCTACAGACATCAGCCCTTCCAGTTTTGCAACAGAGCCCTGCAGGCAGAGTTACCTTGGGATAAAGTTGTGACCTCCCTGGGCATGCTGGGCCGTCCTTTCCCTGACCAGCCATACGCTCCAATGCTAACGCGGTGTGGAGTGCCTGGCTTCAGGTCGCCAATAACAACATCCTGCCAAGTCAAGAGCAGACAAGCACGTTGTGTCAGCAGCTCTGTTTAACTGGGGATGGCGCTGTGAGCTGGGACTCAGGGATCTTACATGGTGTTTTCCCTTTACTCTCCTTGGAAGATGGTCCCCTGCCCAGTACAACTCAGAAACAACAAACACAAATAGAATCATGTTTCTTCTCAAGCTGCAGCTTCACCCCAGGGGAATTCACAAGGTTGACCTGGACCCATTTCTCAGCATAACTCATATGGTTGCAGATATTTGCATTTTATATCCAGCTTTTTCACTGGTAAAGTCAAAGTCACATACTATTCCCTCCATTGAGCCAACTGCTAGTATTTAGTATTAGTCTGGTGTGTTTTCCCCTTTTTTTTTTTTTGTTTGTTTGTTTGTTTGTTTTTATTTCTCTTTTAAATTCAGAGGCCATAAAACCTCCCAAGAGTGAAGCAATTTGATGCAGTGTGAACTGATGATCCTTAATTTCTCATGGAGTAGAGCCCTATCCCATCACCTCTCACAATTTTATAAGCTCAGTTAAAAGCCTTGACTTGAAGCAAACATTTCCCTTATTTGTCCTTCTGCCACAAACACAGAAAGATTAACCCACAGAAAACTACTGTAAAGAAGGCAATGCTCAGCTCTATGTGAAGAGCTTGGGCTGATGAATACTCTTTAGAGGAGCCAGTTCAAATCTCCCAGAAAACAGAAAATATCACCAAAATATTACATTTAATCACTGTCTGCTTCACATAGCATGGATCAGCCTCAGACATTTAGATCTGATCTTTAATGGAGAGTGCATACATGTGTAAAGAAATCGAGTATTCTTTATCTGCAGCCTACCTGGAATGTCTATATTAATCCCAGAATTATGAATTTTGACAGCATATACAAGGAAACAGAAATGTCAGGTTCTATACCACAGACTAGTCTAGTCTGAAAAATAAGCACTTTTAAAAAACTTGTTTTACAGCTATTATTCTTCTGTTTTTCATTCTCTGATATTAAACACATTATTCATGGTGCATTTGAAAATGCAGAGTTCTCCTTTTTCTTCATGTTAGAATAGACTTTAAATCTGCACTTCCAGTTGCATTAAAATAGTAAACAATTCCCAAATTTTATTAACTGCTTTTAATGGTCTTTTGGAAAAAAGCACTTCCTCTCTACTCTTTGAGGAACTCACATTATTACTAAAACATTGTTCAGCAACACCCTGCCATCTGTCATTTCTCTTGACATGGTTTTGGAGCTTCAACACTGATTTCCTATTATCATGGACCACCTGACCACCATGATGTTTTTCCATCATTCACCCTTGATCTGCTCGAATGATCCGGACAGGTCTGAGATGAATCTGAGATTATAACAATGCTGGAATAGTAACTGTCCAGTTAAAGGCAGCAAGAATGCTCACTCTGAAAGATTAATCTGGGTCTTTCAGTCTCATAGCTGAAGGGACTGAGGTCTTTTACAATGTGATCTGAGAAAACCATGACCTCCTCCTGGTGACAGAATTGATGCCCCTGCTTCTGCCTTTCTATCCTCCATGCCACATGTACTGTCTGCCTTTAAACTATGTGCATTTTTTTTCCTGACAGTATTCTTCTTTATTACACTCATGTTTATAAGGAAAAATCCTTCATTATCTGTCTTACTGTTTTCACACTATTCAGGAACTTGGCCCTTGGAGAGAGTTAGATATTAGTGTATGTGCCTGATATTATTACCTCCAGACTCAAGTCTACAATAAACTGAACAGAGAGGATTTCTTTGAGTGCCTGGCCAGTCAAGATCAAAGCCCTAATATCTACTAAGGTATTCAGCAAGTTCAACGTGTGTGCCCTCAAAACCTCAGCAAGGCATACTCATGCCTTACACACATGGCTACCTGCCTCCTTCTGGCAGTGCCTGCTCCATGAGCACAGCCCTGGAACACACAGTGGGTATCTCTGAAACCAAACATCTAACCTTCAAGGATCAGGGTATCAGTGAATAAGTAAAAATTCAGGACACCATCAAGCTACCCTGACCTGTGGCAATGTCAGGGAATACCCTCCTCACACCAGGAACACTTTCAAATCAGATCCTGGAAAAGAAGCAGGGTTCCTGGTGTCCCACTGTCCAGTAGCCTGGGAGTACATATTTAATTTCTTTTTCTGCTTGTATTTAGAAGACAGGTCTTAAACCCAAATTCTGTCCCTCTCAGAAGAGACAGAGTGACCTCATAGATAACAAATTTAGGTAGTATGCGGAAGAGTTATCTCCATCATTTTTGTAGTCCCCCCTCCACTCAAATTAGCTCTATATTTTGAAGCATGATGCCCCAAACTCAACACTCAATTGCTGATGATGCTTCAGTAGTCACCAGCCTCACTTTCTTGTCTTGCACAACTCTCTCGCTAAAATCCTGATAAATGACATTTAGTATTCTCATTACAATCTCACATTGTTGAATGGGTTGAGGCAATGTGATGCCTTTTCTGTGGTAAGGGAGCCACTTTCACATAGATTATCTCATATATCCCTCCCTGCCCTGCCACACAGCTTGCCTTCCCTAGAAGTGTGTTGAAACTGTGAGGCTCAGTAAGCTGCCTCACAGAAACCAGGATTAAAAATTGTTTTCCAGAAGAATGTCTGTTTTCTGTTTTGTTTTAATCCAAAAAACCATCAGACTCTGGATTACAGCACAGCTGCAGGAACGAACCTGGTTTTAATGACATTCTCTCCCCAGCAACAATTCCTTCCCTGAACTACTGGTCTCAGCTGGTCATTTCCTATTTTATACTGGTATGTTTAGTGATTTGGCAGGGAGCAGTGTTGCTCTCCAGGGCTCTGTGCCCCACCCAAAACCTCCCACCTTTAAAGCCTACTAATTTTTATTGATCTTTCTTGTTTTTTATATGTACTGGAGTTCCTGAATATTATGCCCACCTATAATAAATGGTACTGCATCTACACTTCCCCTGGCTGCTGTCACTTCCATATTCTCTACTGTAAAGATATACATATATAATATATAATAATATATATTACATATATAATAACATATATAATACACAATAATACACTATCCACTTTGCTTACACACAGATACGTGAACAGAAACAGGCAGCACAAATCAGCTCTTGGTGCTACAGTAGTCCCACGTGGCCCAGAGAAGCCTCCAAGAAAGCAGCAGGGTCATACCCAGCACCAGGAGAGGCGTGATGGAAACATTAACTATGCAGACTTAACCACAAAACTATTGCAGATTTCTGTTGAGTTTGGTATGAATACAACAGAAAGCATTTCATCGAGAACACCACTTCCTGGAGGATTAATGACAGCTGGGAGTTGATTAATCCCAGCCATTCATACTTCTCCACAAGTACCCCTCAGAAGTGTTATTTTTATCAAGCAGAAAAAAAAGTGCCCAGCATGGAACCTCAATTCTGAAATGCCACAATCCAGACTCAGCTCAGTTAGGATCGAACCGCATAGTCCTGGTTCAAGTGCATCCTGAGGACTCAGATTCCAGTAGTCCAACCAAACTCCCCTTATTTCAGACCAAAAAGAACTCTGTGAGCTCTACCAACCATGTGAGATTTCTCTATTCCTAAAATAGCTCTCAGAAAACAAAAGTCTGCAAGAGGCTGTTGATGCTAGGGATTTCAGTTAAACACTGAAATTGCTGTCCTTTCCCCATCCAAACCCAAATCCTGCTTGCTTCCTGCTCACAATAAACCCAACCTGTTTACTGCTCACAGGAAGCAGACTGGACTGAGTGCAGGACTGGAAATAATCAATCTGATTAATTCACCAGCTGCAAAGCCATTAAGAGAGTTGGTATTTCTTTCAAACTTGTTTTATACTAGTAGCTAGTCTCCCACTCCTTCCTCCTGGGCGTTGCATGGCTGGCCTCTTCCTGCGCTCCTCCTTCTCCTCCTTGGCTCTCTCTGGACTGGCTCAGGTTTTTCCCTCTTCATCTCCTCTCCAACTGCCAGACTTTGTTCTTCCCTTCTACTGTCTGGCTGACTACTTGACCGTCCCTATCATCTCTAAATCCTCACTGTCTGGATATATCTCATTTTTTAGACAAATCTATTCCATCAAAACAAGGCATACATAAATACCTCTGGTGACTGAGAAGAAGGTTTATCCATTGCTAAAAAGGGAGCTAATTTGCCTACAGGTATCCACTTTATCCACCTGTGGATTTTGAGTTTTTTGAGGCTACTATCTGCTACATTTTGACCATGAAAGATCATGTATAAGTGCTACATAGCATCAACATTTGAGATCAAATTTTGTGTGTGTTTCTGTGGAGAGACCAAGTCAGAAACATTCAATTTTATTTTAAATCACATCTGTGACTAAGTTTCATGTGAAGCAATACTTACAAAAACTGCTTGTCCTTCAAGTTGACCCTGGGAAAAAGCAAATAGGACTTGTTAAGAACTAAAATAATAAAAAGTGATGGCAAAAGCAGAATAAATAATGGGTGAGAGAATTAAAACAAGACCAGTGCTGCAGCACATAGCAGTCTGTGTGGCTGTTAATCATCTGCATGAGTACTGGGATACAGACTTTCCTCTCCCAGTGATTAAGAAGTACTGCTGCTAGGATTAAGATAAAAAACCCAGTGGTGTTTGATCTTTCTTGGCAGTACTAGCAAAAATAGTTTTTAAGAAACAAAAAAGGCGAGAAAGGAATACAGAGATAAAGATAAGAAGGGAGAAAATAATGCATGAATAAAGAAATGCTATATTATGACACCAATATTGTTTTATTCCCCGTGATCCCAGAATCCTGCAGAAGTCAGAACTGACAAACAGAGTGATGGAAACCTGCATGAAATCTGAGCATCCTACTCACTCACACTTCTAGTGACTAAGTGGGGCAGAAAAAGGGAAGGAGGAAAGAAAAGGGAAAAATAAAAAAAAATTAAAAAAAAAAAACCAAAACAAAAACAACAACAACAACAACAAAAAAAAACAACACCAAAGGAGATAAAAAAGAAAAAACATAACTTTAAAAACAATGAAGAGCAATGAGGAAAAAGTAGTCCTTTCAAGAACAAAATAAACACTAGCAGCTGGGGGAATCTTCTAGAATATGAACTTGCAGAACTGCAACTAAAGCAGCCATATTTCAGAAGGCCACAGCCTCACACAGAAGCAAAAACACTCTGTATTAACTCACACAGCTGTGTCAGACACTGCAATACACATACAGTGATAGTGCAGCTCTCCCTCATATACTCATGCAATTCCACTCCTTCCATGTGTGAAAATGCATGCATTTGAAATTAAAAGCTCTATTTTAGTAATTTTACTGACAAAGGCCAGTACTGAGAGCAATTTCCAATAGTTTTACATGATAAAACAGTAAGACAAGAAGGAGAAAAAGTGCATCACTCAAACACAAAAACATTACCCAGAGCAGATCTGGGGCTTGGATCCTCACCATATTTTATCAATAGACAAAACTACAAGGAGACAGTTGCAAGTTTCCACTTGCATGTTCTGCTCCAGTGTTCTGATTGTTGTTGAAAATAAATACTCACCATGCTAATCATATCCAGACTCAGGGGAACATCATGTGAGAGCTGTTTAACTGCTTTGTCACCTTCAACTTCTGAGTAAAAGACCTTGGGAAGAAGATATAGTCAAACTTGTTACGACAATAACTCAGTATTTCAGAATAACTTAAGAATGAGTGCACAATTGCATCATTGTCACACTGAGGACAGAATTTGAGCCCATGATCCCCCGCCTTTTCAAATGCAGGAAAAGCTGAAGTCCTTTAATATTCCTTACATATTTGCTAGAAGTTGTCAGTGTGACCAAAGTACACCATCACACAGTGTATACACTTACCTAATGTGAAACATAGTTGTAGGGCTTGTAGCATAGGCCTGAGCTGTTTCATTGTGCATCATTTGTCTGTCATTACCATGAACAGCTAAAGAGTTGTAGGACTAGTCTGCACTATACAGACACCTTACTTCGTGTAAGAAAGATGTTGACATTCCATGATTATGACATTACAAAAATTGCTGAATCATAAAATGTCTCTCAGTGTCTGCTGCCATGTACTGGAGACTAATGAGACAGACAATCTGCTTTGCTGTGCACATAGACCCAGAGGTGCCAGAGGGTCAAGATACTACAGTGAAGACATTTTGGGTAGAGCATTGTTGATGCTGCTTCTCATTGGTTTTATGATCATGCTGCACACACCAGCTCAAGGCTTAAAAAAACAAGTGGAGCTCAGATGCTTGATCTGTATGCATGAAGAGTGACCACCGTTTACAACTTAGGCCACTTACTCCCTGCACCTCTGTTTTCAAAGAGAAAGGTAGACCCAGTTATACAGAGCCCACCTGAGGCAGTTCCGGACCGCAGCAAGTGCTTTTTGGAGTTTTAGACTAGTTCATACCATTTTCATAACAATAAAATTAATTTTGCAGCTTGGCTGCACTGGTGTCATTTACAAGACTGTGGGATAAAGGAGCATGTGTACCAGAAATACCTATTGCAGAGATTTTTTCTCTTAATGTACATTAATAACTAAGGTACTCCATAGTATTCTGCTTCCCACCTTTTTACATAAAATTGAACTTGGGGTATTTTATTCTTGGAAATTTCCAATCTATCCATAGAAAATGCTAATGAGAAAAACTGCTATTAGTTTTTTGTTGTTTTTGAAGGGGAAAGCAACATATTTTAGTCAACACCTCAAACCTTTGGTGCTAATTTCCGACTGATTCACTTCCATTTTGGGAACATTCCATTTTAACATGTATTGCCATGGAATACATGTTAAAACAATACCTAATAAAAATGAATGAACAGCATGATATTGCTCATAGCGTTTCTTCTTACACACTAAAATACAGTAACCAGTTTAGCCTAGCCATTCTTTGCCCTATAGGCAGAAGGTAACATGGCAGAGGCTTGATGGGGGTCAGAGATTTCCTAATAAAATTGCTGAGTATAACAGGAAAATCATTCAGCTTCTTTAACAGAAACTGACTTCTGAGGTAGGGTGAAATAAAACAAAAGCCCTTTTGATATTTATGGCTGCAGGTGGGTTCCCAGGGATTCTAGGCAGTACAGTACCTATCCAGGAAGAGATTCCATGAAACACTCCTTCCCTTGTACCTGTTGCAAGTCTGGGAAGCTTTAGAGGCTCAGTTTGAAAACATATCACTGCTAAAGTAATCCTCAGGTTGGAAGTAAGAATCAAAGGATTTGCATGGTTCTCACTTGCACAGTGCAATATCAGCCTGCTCTGCTCTACTTTACTGTTTTATCAGAGAGCATTGAGACCCTTGCAGGAAAACCACAACAGAAAAGCAATCTACATCCACTGCAGGCCCTTGACATCCAACCCAAATTCCCATCATAGCCTGCTTCTAAAACATGAGCTGCTTATTTTTTTAAGGTTACAGCTCAGTCTGCTCAAGCTCACTGTCCCCTGGCCACTTTCTGGGCAGTGACACTGTGAGAAGGGGCTGTCCTGCTGGTTTCAGTGTGTGCAGCCTGAGGCCAGGCAGCAGCACGGAGCATCACTTACCATGTACCCTGTGATGGTGCTCGCGTGCTGCTTTGGCATCTTCCACTGCACGCTGAACGCTGTGCAGTTCAGTGAATCCAGCCGAATGTCCAGAGGAGGCCCCAGCCTCTCTGCTAAAAACAAAATGGCATTGTATATATAAGGAGCCATAGGACAGAACATAAAGAGCCATAGGACAAAACCCCTCTCCTTTAGCTGTCTGGCAGGTATGTCTTTGAAGAATAGGCCTGTGCTGCCCTCACTACAAACTATCAAACACACCCCACTACTCAGATTTGACTTGGGTCCCCCTTTTACCTCTCCACTTCTGACTTACAAGGTAGCAGTGGAACACCAGGAGAGGGGTTGCAAAGGGGGACATCTCCTCTTCTTAGTGGGCGAGATGCTGCTTAGCTTAGGAGCACCCAGTGCTTCAAGCAATGCCATTGAACAGCTCATAGGCTTTTAAATATATTCCTGAAATGCTGGATTCTACCCAGGACCCAAAGACAGGGACATTCACACATTCATACTGCTTGTACAGTACAGCTGTGGCACAGATTCAGACTCCTGGGAATGTCTCCCAGAAATGGTCTGGAAGACAGTACCTCTCACACACCACATCTGTAAGTCAGTATGGACATCTCTGGGGAAGGAAGGTGTGGAAAAGAGCCAAACCATGCCGTTCCCTGGGGCCTTGCCCATTTTCTTCATTAGCATGGACTTAGTCCCATGGATTCCTGCTTGGTCCAGGGACTCGGAACACAGCATGTGTTACCTCCTATGCCCACCTTCTGCCCTGCACTCAGCAGTAGCTGGAACTACACACCACTTGCTACCTAAAGGAGTGGCAGGGATGAGCAGCCAGGGCTGGTGTATCAGTGTACACTTAAGAAACATTTCACATTCAGAAATCAGCTTTCTAATCTTCACAACACCCAATAAGGCAGATTAGCATTTCAGCTGCATTAGTAATAAGGAAGAAAGAATACCCGCCTGAACATTTACTCTTAACATATTCATAGCATCCTTGTGTTACTTTCTGGAGAAGATCTATGAGACAAATTTGCTGGAAGGCATAGTTGCTGAAATAACAAATTTTCTAATCTGAATGCACTATAGGCCAGTAACACTATTTATTCAAAGTATTTGGTGAATAATTTGGAACAACAAATAAATTTGAACAAAATGCAATCCATTTGTAGACTATCTGCAAGCAGAGAGACAACATCTGTTTAATAAGGAGCCAAATAATGAATTATTCACTTAGCCCTAGAAAACACTACTATCTCCAGGTTGCAGATGATGAAAGAGACACAGAGAGCCAAAAAGTGACCTGAGTTATACTGGCCTATAAATTGTCACTGTGGAGTAAATACAAAGCCCTGGACTATGCCAGGGAAAACAAGAGCAAGGAGCCAGAGAGGCCCATATTTTTAACCTCCTTGTTTAGTTCTCCCTAGAAGTTAAGGAATTCCCCTAACACAACAGGGTTATGGCTGGATGCTTGCTTGGGAACCAGTCATAAGCACCATCAGTCCTAGCACTGTCTTTGCAAGCAGCTTCAGGTGATGGCCAGCGCTCAGCACACCACTGCATCCTGCCCTGAGACAGAGCCGTGCGACAGGCAGGCACATGACACTCACACTGCAGGAGACCTGCTGCCTCATGCCCAAACCAGGAGCCAAGAGGTAAAAGAAAGCCAGTGGCAGTTGTGATCCATGCACAGAGTTATTTCCTGGGGAGGCTAGAGGGCGAGGCAGAGAGGAGTATCTCATGCAGCATGGCAGTCCCAGAGTCCTCTGCTGTCACCACTCCTGGCCTGACAGCTCAGTGATATGCATCTGGGGACTCAGAGTCACTTCTGGTTGTCAGAATTTCTCACAACCTGGCATAAAGTAAAAACCGTCCATTTCTGGGCTGAACTTTCCCTCTGCAGCCATGGCAAAGTGATGGCAGGATCTGACACAAGCATTGTTTATGGCACTGAGCTGCAGGAAATGTCATGGCTTTTGAACAACCATATCAAAGTGATTTGTCAGCTGATCACAACTGCTGCAGCACATGTCACTGCTCTACTGACAAGCCATTTTGAGATAAATCTGAGCTTAATGTACTTTGCATGATTTTACAGAGCATCATGTATTATGCACACTAAACACAGATACTGAAACTGGTCTGAACATTTATGTCTTTATGTCAAGCATCATGTTTAGACTATTAAAAATAATAAAAAGTTTTCAAGGGTAAATCTCTTAGGGTATTTGTAGTTTCTCCTACAACTGGGGTCAGAAATACCTCTTCTCAAAACTCATCATGAAATCTTTGCTAATCTGGTAGCACCAGGCACAAACTGAGCCTCCTCCCCTCTGCACCCTGTGGGATTGGGAATCTGCAGACGAGTGAGACATATTCACTCCTTGTACATGCTCTGAAGATACGTCTAAGTGATGATCCCCCTGCCAGTGTCCTCTGCAGTTAGGTCAGTGAATACCTAAGAAGGCATGGAGATTTGTTCTGATCATAAGGAACAAGGAGCCAATTAATATAAACAATAAAATTAAACATGTTTTGTACAAACACACAGTCATTCTCCTTTCTGGCCCATCAGGCACAGAAAGTTCAATTCTGTCCAAAATGCTTTTATAGTAATGGAAGCAATTACTCCAGCACCATGCAAAGAAGCCATTAATCAAGGGGGAGCACTCTCACACATATTATGACTATACATTGTGAAAGTATATCAAACACAAGAACTTAATGAGCATTTAGCCTCATTAGATAAACAATGTTGAGCTGACAATGTTGTGTTTACTTTTCTGCTTACAGCTTCTTTCCTTCCCGTTTATATGCCTTTGGCTCTGTACTTCTAAAAATATGCAAAAACCACCAAACCAGTAAAAAAGTCACCAAACAAGCTCTCCAAGTAAGCTGAAGAATACATAAGAAGTCTCCCTGAGGTGCAGTAAATTTTGCCATTTCAAAATAATAACCATTATTTAAATTTCTGCTTCACAAAAGCAAATAAAATTAAAAATTTTGAAAATGCTTATGCCTTCAATACAAGTGTCACTTCCATTGTGGCTCTCACTGCTACATACAACAGCCTCTGCCCACAGGCTACCATCAGGGTGGCCACAAGCTAAATGTGTGCCTCATGGGAATGGTCCCCAGCCTGGGTCCATCACTGGTGTTATCCTTCACTGCAATGAAGAGATGAAATTCTTTGCTGTGAGAGTGGTGAGGCACTGTCACAGGTTGACCAGAGAGGTTGTGGATGCCCCAACCTTGGCAATGCTCATGACCAGGTTAGATAAGACCTTGAGCAACTCAGTCCAGTCAGAGGTGTCCCTATGGCAAGGGGATTTGGATTAGATGGTCTTTAAGGTCCCTTAAATCCCTTAACATTCTACCATTCTATGATTATACGTAGCCTTGCCTCTAGGTGCTACTTGCCATCACTGAATCCACCCTCTGCTCCCAGGCCAATCATGTGCAGGGCTCAGGAGCAGCCACTTCATCTGGATCCTTTCCTCCAGCTACTGCAAAAAACTGCTTATGCAGGAAACCCTTCCTTCCTTCTAGTACTGGACTGAAAGCTAAATCTTGCTACAGTGATGAACAGTTGTGAGAAAAAACCTCAACTTCAAATGAAATAAATTTCTAATGTTCATAGGCTTCACATTTGAAGCACACTGGATAAATTAGCTCATCCCTATTAGTATGTACTACTACTACTACTATTTTAGAGCAGATTTCAAAACTGATTCAAATTTTAACTCAGATTAAAATGCTAGTGATTGAAAACAGTTCTAATCTTAAATACTGATGAATGGAATATCTCAAAGGATTTTCGTTAGAAAATTTTCTTTTATAATTTTAATCATATTTTGAATTTAATCTTTTCCTTTTAGATGTTGTTACTATATCAAGGCATACAGGTAGTAACAGGTACTTGCATATCCTGAAACAGCATGCAAATTCACTGATACAATCCACATGCAATAATAAAGTAATACATTTAAGGGAAAAGATATGGTTAATTTCATCTTTATAGGTTTGTAGTTTAGAAAATCAAAATCTTTATACTACATTTTCTGTACTACTCTTAACAAGAGAGCATAAGCCAATGAAAGGAGATAAGCATTTCACTGTTTTACTCCTAAACCTCTGTGGGTAACAGCCTAAGAGGTACTGACTGAAGGGCTCCTTATTTTCAAGTTTGATGTGTCTCCTATTTGTGTCCCATGAAACAAGTGAAACTTGTTGATGAAACGCCAGCTGTCACTAATAACATGTCACAATGTAAGAAAAGAGGAATTAAAAAAGCTCAAGAAAAACAATTCAAACTAATTCTAAATTTAAGTTTTCAGAAAAAAAAAACACTTTCCAGAAATACCTCTGAATTTCTTCTGTTTGAAACATTGTGTTCACCACTTCACAAAAAAAACTTCCCTATAAATTTTATTAAAATAGCATTTTATCATTGTAATAGCTGTTTTTGAGGGAAAAAAGCTTGCCTGCTCCAAGAGCTGAAACAAAGTGTAGAACAGTTCATTCACTCTCTTACTAAAATATTGGTGAAGTTCTTATTTATTAAGCAATAAACAGTGATAAGGTCTTTTGCTTCCCTTATTTTACAGACTGAAAGTTATGCAAATACCACAGTGGAAGGAAGGCAATATGACAAACTGAAAAGGTCAGGAAATTCTAAATTAAAAAAATATGCCATCTTTAAATTCCTTTGAAGCCATTTCCAGCTCCCACTGCCCAGCAGCAGTACGTACGTAAGAGAGCAAGAATTTTGCAGCCACAACAACTGCAAAGGACAAGGACTCAAAACTGGAAAATCTCAGCCATCCTGTCCTGGTTCTGCACCCAGAGCAACAACATCCACACACTGAAAATCTTAATAGTTGTTTCTCTGAATGAATCACCAGCACTGCATCAGATCTTGCAGCACAGATGGCAGGTAACATGGCCCTAGAGAAGCACAATGTTTTTTGATTCAAACCAGAGTGCACAAATCTTTGGAGATACTAACCTGACCTTCATTAGTCCTTTTAAAATACCAAAAGAAACCACAATGAAAAAAATTTCTCAACATTTTAATAAATAACAGGCTTGAACTCGT